CACCGGCAGAATGACGGGTTTGAAAACATTAGAGTTAAGACAGAATGACGCTAACCGAGTTCACAATCTGATTCGTTACAGTCGCTGAATTATCTGAATATTGAACTTACTACAAGCGGAGATGTTGTTGTTGTTTTTTTGTCATACAGTGCTCTCCATGCCGTCCATGCAAGGAACTGTCTCACTCGTGTCATCCAGTGGCTAGATTTCGAATTGTTCGTATTTGTAGAGCGCCACCTACTGGATTGGACTGAAACCGTTCTAAAATTTGTAAACAAACTGCGGTTATCAACCTTTTTAACTCGAGGACTCTTTAAGAGTTCGGAAACAACATGACGTGAATAAATGATGATTTTAGGGGTTTTAAGTTATTTTTAGAAATCACAAAAACAAATTAAACTGCCATAAGTATTTTTATTTATTTCAACAAAAACAGAAAATCACTTGAACTTAACATTTACACAATATTGATACATTAGACGCCAAATAAAACGTAACAAGTCAAATGATTTAAAAGTCACTCATTTATAAAAAAATAATAAAACAGATCATCTTAGAGTCATATATTACAAGACTAGGATTTAAATAATCAATTTACACACTTTCTACCAAGTTTATTTTCAAAGTATTAAATGGCAGCTATAAACCCACTGTAATGATCAATCAATACACAAACTATGCTGTTCCAGCACTGTTCACTTGAGGAGGCTCAGGTACAGGCAGAACCGGGCTGCTTGTTGGAGATGAATCAAGTGTTTTGCTCTGCTGTTGTTGCTCAAAATAGCTACAGAGCAGAGAACGAACTGCCTCTGCATTTGGATCATCTATATAGACCGTAGGCACGTCTGTGGGCTGTGGACATTCATTCTGACTGAGTGCTTCAACCCACTCCTCTTTAAACGGACTGTTATGCACATTACAGATATTGTGCAAGATACAGCAAGCTACAGCCATCTTGGATACCAAGTCTACATTGCTGTCATTTCTGTTGTGCAAACACTGCCATCGTGCTTTAAGACGCTGGAAGGCATTCTTGATGACTTTAAGGCCATGGTTCAGCTGGACGTTGAAGGTTTGCTGTTGCGGTGTTAGATTTGACAACGGAGGATAGCACTTCAGTAGCCAGGCCTGAAGCGAATAACCCACATCCCCCAGCAGCAGAAATCCCAGCGGTTGACCCATCAGTTCTTTGGGTGGCTGGGAGCAGAAGCCTCCCTGTTCTGCCATTGTCCACAGCTCTGAGCTCTGCAAGATGGTCATGTCATCCATGCTGCCTGTAAAACCGGAACAAACGTCCCAGAAAGTACCTTGTGCGTTTACCACACCCTGAAGCACCACAGAGTGCCATCCTCTCTGGTTCCAGCAATCCTGAGTGTCCGTGGAGGGCGATTTAACTGGGATGTGAAGGGAGTCGATGACACCAATGCAGTGAGGAAAACCCCACAGAGTACGAAACTGCTCCGCATGTTCTTCAAGTTCATGATCTGCGGGTAACTGCATGTAGAGGGGTTTTATTAACAAGATGATGGCTTCACATACCTCTCGTACACACTGACACACAGCTGGGATGGGCACACCGAAGAGTTCACTTAAAAAGCAGTATTCTGTGCTGGTGGACAAACGCATTAAGGTCATGGCAATACATCTCTCCAGTGTAATGATCTGTCCAATTTGTTCTATATACACTTGCTCGAGCTGAGGCTTGAGTTTAGCGCTCAGAAGAAGGAAGATGTCTCTTGTGACGTGGAACTTGTCAAGCCAGTCTTCTGGTCCAAACTCTGTCATCACAACTCTCTCCCACCAGTCTGGGTCTGCAAGGATTGGGACATGATTTTGCAGGTCTTCTTCATCTGGTGATGGTATCTAAAACATTGACAGAAACGTACTGCATGAATGCAGACTGGCATCAATTCAATAAGGAATTGAGTCTCTTTACTTATTATGTATTGACTGCACTGGCACTAGTCTGCATCGTAGATTCTGATATTTTCCTGTTTATAACTGCGAAGCTGCTTTGAAAGCATCTGTATAGTATAAAGCGCTATGTAAATAAAAGTGACTGGACTAATATGCACACTCTTCTCATTACCGTGTCTTAGAAATGCTTAGTAAACATATACAGAAATAACACTTTACCGTTCTCGTGCTCCGGTAATTGAGGAAAAGATGCCTTCGATATCTGATTCGTTTGTGAATTTCAGCTCGCCTTTCTAGTATGTAGTTATGAATTTCTTCTTTTCGCCTCCTAATTTTGGATGCGAGTAAATATTTCATCTCCGCAGCATCTCTCGCCTCGTCTGTTTTCAAGTATGAACGTGGCATTTTGTGCGACGTGTGGTAATAAACACTCTAACTTACACAGTG